GCCCTTTTCCTGTCTTGATAAATCGCCCCTTATCAGACTCAAGGGCCCAGCCTAAGAGCACATCTACAGACTGCAGGACCGTCCAATGCATCCAGGGCTTACAAAGACATCCTCTCTCGTTTTTTCCTACAGTCAAATGGACTTTCACCGAGGCTTCTTGAGCCATTTCCTGGGGGCAGAGCTATGCCTATGGCCCTCCTAGAGTCTTCGAGCTCACCTGTCTCTGTTTAGCTCCAAAGCCAACTTTGACTAGCTCTTCCCTTCTGCTCTGTCCCAGATCCCCCATCACATCCTCTTCCTTCAAGGCTTTGGCTTTGGAATTTGTTCTGTTGACAGCAGGTACAGTTACCCCACCCCTACCCTCTACCCCAGCCATTCCCAACCTGTGGGTCGTGATGCATTGGAGGGTCAGACGACGCCTTCATGCGGGTCACATATCAGATACTTATATTGTGATTCATAACAGTAGCAAAATTACAGTTATGAAGTAGCAATGAAATAACTTTATGGTTGGGGGTCACCACAGCATGAGGAACTGTGTTAAAGGATCGCAGCATTAGGAAGGTTGAGAACCACTGCTCTAAGGTATGATCTAAGACTCCAGTGGAACTAGGAATTGCATCAAACCCTGTCTATATCATACTGTCTCCTATATCATACACACACACCTATATGAGCTTCAATTTATAACTTTCTATCCCATCTCAGCCATTTCTGCAAGCATTTTTTTTTTCTTACTTAGAGAAATTGAAGCATCTTACATTGTTTGGTTGCTAGCATCATTATTTTATGCTTCTGGGATTAAAAGTCACAAGGTCACAGACAGTGTAACAATGAAATGTTTATGAGTAACTTAACAGGCAGATGGCACAGACAGCATTGATACACTGGTCACAATGATGCTTCGCACCCTGGCTGGGACAGAGTAGGACATCAAGAGACTTACCACCCTCTTCAGAACAGCATGCATTTTGAAAGTTATGAGTTGCTTATCTCAGGGATTTTCCCCTTAGCATTTTGGAACATAGCTGACTGTGACTAACTAAGCCAGGGAAAGAGAAGCCATGTATATACCGGGGTGGGGGGTGGGGGGCTGTTGCGTTCCAAACCCACCATCCCTTCCCAGAATGCTGTTACTGCCCCCGGGCTTTGGTGAAACTGGTTCCCTCACAAGGGTACTGTTTAACTTACAACCCTATCCGGGGTACCATCTCATTTACTGGAGCCGTGGGCCACAAGGAGTGTGGGGGACTCCATATGCCCACTGCATCTCTAACAAGTGAGCCCACATCCAACTGTGACCAGAGTTTGAATGCCCCTCATTCAGTACAGACCAGTTTTCCTAGCCTGCTCACTAACATTCAACTATATCATCACAGTTCAGTCTATGTTCTGCAGAAGCTCAGTTTTCTTCTTTCTTTTCTGATTTGTTTTAACATATAGAAACTTGTTTGTTTGGGGTATTAAACACATCTGTGTGTTCACCTAGAGGTCAGAGATCTGTGTTGAATGTCTTCCTCAATCATTCTTATTTCTTGAGAACAGAGTCTCTCACTGGCCTGAAACTCACTGACTCAGTGAGCCTAGCTAGCCAGCCATCAAGCCCATAATTCCTCCAGTCTCCAGGCCTCCAATACCGAGATTACAAACACAGGCCACCATACCCGTCTTTTTACATGGGCACTGGGAATCCGAACTCAGCTCCTCACGCTTGCATCCCAGGAACTTTACCAACTGAGCCGCGTCCCCAGTTCCCAAGCTGTGCCCTTGAGAGTGATGGGTTGCCAGGTTCTGTGGCCTGTGACCCCTCTAGGCAGCCTTGAGGTGATGACAGCCATCATCTAGAATACAGTAGAACGCAGAAGACACTGTATGATATCAAAGCAGGACGGAGTACTTCATCACTGGCTCCTGGCAGCAGCAGAAGGCTGGCCCAGGAACAGGAAATGAAGAGTGTCCTGGAGTTCAGAGAGTCATCAGTTCTGCTAATAGCGTTTTGCCAGTCTAGGCAGAATTATAGATTGGACGTGGAGTACATATCTTTCCTTTCAGGAGGATGGCGCTGCCATACATAATATCTAAAACTAATAGAGAGAGAAGGGGTCTCCAGCCTTACCGCGGTGACTGGAGCCACTGTCAGTTGTTGTGACATTGTTGATAAAACAACACCGTGTATTAGGACAGCCATTTTTCCCTTGCAGGAAGGACACACCTGGGAGACCGGGCCTCACTCACTATGGATAAAGAAAGGCAGAAAGAAATGTCCAGAGTTGGCCTCAGCATCTGGTGCTCCGCCGTGGGTCGCAAGGAGCGGCTCACAGCTGGCGGGAGACATACGGCCGTGATGGATGTGTTCAGTGGATCACACCTCGAGGGCTCTGAGAGAGAGAACAGGAAAATGGACTCTCCCCAGTGAGGCAATTCACACAGTGCCCAGCCTGTCCCTGAGGTAATCCCCTCAAGTCCCACTTCACAGGGGCTCAAGCCATCAACGGGTGTGACTGGCCATGTGGGAAAAGACTGTGTGAGTGGAGACACCGCTCAGCTGATGAGGGAACTTGGAGTATCTCAGCTCCACCACATTCTTCTGGTGGCCGGATTCTGAGGAGAAATCATCTGTCTTCTGTGCACTCTGGGTTTGGGTGTGAGCAAAAGACAGTAACATTTCAGTAGCTGCACTTACTGGGCACTTACTCCAAGCCAAACACTGTGCTGAGCACCTGGCATGTCTCATTTCACAAAAGCTATGAGGGAGTTGTCATGACAAAGGACAGGTTCAGGGTGGTCCAGTGACACAGCTAGCCACACACCTGGCACCTGCACCTCAGTGTGACAAACTATAAACCTCAAGTCATAACTACAGACCTAAACCTCACCAAGGTCTCCAGACAGGATCCCCAGGGACGTCAAGGTCAAGGGTGCCCTAGAGCAGATTCCTTGTCATCTGTTCATTTGACATCTGTTTCTGAGGCCTGTACTGAGTGTTGCCCTGTGCATATGAACTGTGTGTGAGAGACCATCTTGTGGAAAAGGTCAAGTACTTACAGTTAGCTCAGCGTTCTCTCTCCAGCCTCTAGGCTACCTTTACAAAAAGAGCTACCACAAATCAAAAGGCATATCCCTGAAAAAATGGTAAGGAGTGGACCCTCTTGGTCTGGATGGTAGATGGCAGAAAGCATATAGGAAGCTGAAGGAGTGAGTGGGAGAACCGTTTCAGAGGTATAAAGAGAGGAAAGGTGGGAATGGACGGAGAAGCGAGCTATTCCTTATGTCATCCCAGGAACAAATATTCACCTGGGCACGGAACTGTTGGGTCCTGAGAAATGTCAACAAGCAAATTGGACAGAAGTCCTTTCTTCTGAGGGTCTTAAAACCTGGCTGGAGGAGACAAGCCATAGCTAGACCAATGTGTGTTAGAAGACCTTGAAAGCCACAGAGGGCAAAGGTCAGGCAGGTAAGTGAAGTGTCAGCCTCTGAGATAAAGAAGGCAGGTTAAAGGAAATACAGTGAAAAGAACAGGCTGTGTTTATCAGCTTCCCATCACTATTCCAAGATGCCTGAGGCAATTAGTTATAAGGAGAAAAGAACTCTTAAACTCATGATTCTGGAGATTCTAATCCAAGACCAGGCAGCCGAAACACTCTTGGCAGAGTTCTGGTAAGGACACAAGATGGCAACGATGAACACATGATGGTACACACCACTTACCTCTTGGCCAGGAAGCAGAGTAAGGGGTTCGGTTCCCACAGTCCTCACAGAGAGCACACCACCAAAACCCAAGAGCCTCCCACCAGGCTTCTCCCACTAAAGGTTCCCTAGCCTTCCAGTAGCATCATTGTGGAACCAAGCCTTCAACACATGGGACATTAGGAGATCTTCAAGATCCAACCTGTAGCACAGGCCAGGTTATGCTGTTTAGATGTTCAACATCCATAGCCATCAGGGAAATGTGAGTCAAAATGACTCTGAGATTCCATCTTACACAGGTCAGACTGGCTAAGATCAAAAACACAAGTGACAGCTCATGCTGGAGAGGATGTGGAGCAAGGGGAACATTCCTCTATTGCTGATGGGAATACAAACGTGTTACAGTCACTTTTGAAGTTTTTTACACAATGGAGTATTACTCAACTGTTAAAAACAATTACACCAAGAAATTTGAAGGCAAATTGATGGAACTAGAAAAAAACCATCCTGAGTGAGGTAACCCAGACCAAGATATGGTATGTACTCACACAAATGTGGCTATTCACTAAAAAATAAAGGATAACAATGCTATAATCCACAGACTCAGAGAGGCCAGGTAACAAGGAGGGTTCATGGGGTGGGGACACCCCAATCTCCCTGGGAAGGGGAAATAGAAGAGATTTCATGAGTGGACTTAGAGCAGGACGGGAACATGAATGACCAGGTTGGGGGGAACGTAAGGGGAGAGTACTGAAAGAGACCACTGGAGAGGGGGAGCATTTCAGAGTCAGGTAAACACCTGGCACAAGGGAATCTCCCAGGAATCTGCAAGGATGACCCCAGCTAAGACTCCTAACAATGGTGGATATGTAGCCTGAACTGCACAACTCCTGTGACCAGATTGGTGCCTAGCCCAACTGTCATCAGAGAGGCATCATTCAGCAACTGATGGGAACAGATGCAGACCCACAGCCAAACATTAGGTGGAGTTCAGAGAATCCTGCAGAAGAGGTCACATCTCACCTTTCAGAGAGGTCAAGGAAACCACAAGAAAACTCACAGAATCAACTAACCTGGGCTCATAGGGGCTAAAAGAGACTGAACTAACAACCAGGGAGTCTGCATGGGACTGACCTAGGCTCTCTGCATACGTGTTACAGTTGTGTAGCTTGGTCCTCTTATGGGACTCCTAACAGTGGGAAGAGGGGCTGTCTCTGACTCTTTACTGGTTCTTGGGATGCTACTCCTCATACTAGGTGGCCTTGCCCAGTCTTTTTTTGTTTTTGTTTTTGTTTTTGTTTTGTTTTGTTTTGTTTTTTTATTGCAAATAATATTTTATTGTACAACACACTACATTTGATATACCCAAGTACCAGTTAATGGATATTCTGAATCCAGTATCTGGTTATCATGAAGAATGCTGAACTCATGTAGTCATGGTGGCACACACCTTTAATCCAAGCACTCAAGAGACAGAGGCAGGTGGATCTCTGGGTTTGAAGCCAGCCTGGCCTACAAAGTGAAAACCTATCTCAAAATCAAACTCTGTATACACTTTCTATAGGCATGGCTTCAGATTCAGTTCTCTTGGTTAAAGCCAAGAATTGCTGAAGTTTGAAGTAACTCTGTGTCACCTTTGTTGTTGTTATTGTTGTTGTTGTTGTTGTTGTTGTTATTGTTGGTTTTTGTTTATGTGCCACAGTGCCTGTGTGGAGGTCAGAGGGCAACTTTCTGTGGTGGTTTCTCCTTCCACCATGTGGGTCCCAGGAGTCAAACTCAGGTTCTTGGCCGTGGACCTGTTTGTTACAACCCCATCTTGTTACCTTTTCAAGACCTAATAGTCTGTTTTCCAAAGTGGCTGCTGGTAGTCTACCTTCACCTGAGCAATGCATGGTTCCAAGCTTCCATCTTCACATCAGTTCACTTTGTAATTGCAGCCACCGCAGTGGACATGTTAATGCCTTGATGAGCATTCGTGGTTAGTGTGATCATCTTTCCATGTGCTACTGATGCTTTGTGACAGTAGCCTTGAGCCTGTGCAAAACGCATGGAGATCTGAAAACCATTCAGTTAAGATTTTGCTAAAGCCAATGTCCTTTCTAATTCCTTTAGCTGCATATTGCCTTGAGTAATCATCATACGGATTGTATCCTCTTCCGTGGCACTTTTGTTTTGTTTGAATTCTTCCCTGGCCCAGTCCTGAAGGTACTTTCGGTCAGCCTCGCTTGGAACTTGCCTAATCGCTCGCAAAATCTTTCTGTAGAGGAGGAGGACTTGTTGCCTTCTCATGAACTGCTTCAGGGTCAGCGCCGTGGGAGGCAAGCGACTGCCCAGTCTTAATACATGGGGAGGTGCTTAGTCTTACTGTAACTTGATATGCCATGTTTTGTTGATACTCATGGGAGGCCTGCCCTTTCCTAAACAGAAATAGAGGAATGGATTGAGGGATGGGAATGGGGGCAGGGGTGGAGGGCTGGGAGGTAAGGAGGGAGGGGAAACTGCAGCCAGGCTGTAAAATAAATTCACACACACACACACACACACACACACACACACACACACACACACACACACACGTTGCTTTTTGAGTGCCGGCTAGCTCTGAGCCTGGGGACACCTGGGCAAGAGCCTTGCAGGCAGAGGGAGCAGCAGGTGCAGAGACTCAGAATGATGGCACCCAGCCCTACCAGGACACAGTGAGGTACCAGGGTGATGGGAAATGAGGGAGAATGACAGCTGACCAGGACCAGGGGCCACAGAGGACAAGAGAGCCATGCTGGTCCCTGGGCATCGTGGTGAGAATTGGACATCTGTTTTAGTCTAGAGGGAGGCCATCCTTGTAGCAGTGGTTTTGAGCAGAGAATAACCAAGACATCTCAGATTGGAAAGATCGTTTTGAGGAGGAGAACAGGAGGTAGAACTGATCTGGCATGTCAGGGACCCCAAGCAGCACTTTCAACAATGTCCTAGAGGGAGGCCAGGAATCTTAAAAGAGCTCTGGCACCTCTTTCTTTGTTTCCTCCTAAATGAGCACCTCTGCAGAGAGGAGACACCTGAGTCCCTGTGGTGGGGCCAACTGAACTGACCAGCTCCTCCTTCTCCCCAAGTTTCGGCCCTGACTCCTTTGAAAAGGCCCCCAGACTAGTAACTCAGTGATACCCTATTTCCAGGGACCCTCCTGCTATGCAGGAGATCTATGGACATGTTAGCGTACTCTCTCTCCTTTCCTCCCTCCCTCTTAAGCTCCAACCTATGAATCTATAATAACTTCTCTCTAAAACTCACTTTCCATGGTCATGAATTTTCTTCTTCAAATTTTTGAAGAAAGAAGCCAAAATCCACTGGCTGGAGGCAGCTTTGGTGGCCATCGAAGTTGGGGGAACTTAGGCCCCTGAAAGAGGCTCCATCATTCTTAGAGACACCCTCGTATTCCTGTATCATTTCTCTACTGTATTAGGAAAGATGAAGGGAGGAGAGGAGACGGGGCCAGGGTCGGGGAAAGGAAGGCTGCTCAGGGATGCAGAAGAAAACAGCAGTGACGGGCAGGGCCGGTGCGAGGGACTGGGGAGATGTGCTTGATTCCTGGACTAACGCTGAAGTTTGGAAATGGGGAGGAGTGGAAAGAAGAAGGGAAGTGAAGGATGCCCTGGATTCTACAGTTTCCAGAAGGAGTCCCCAGAAGGCAGAAGCAGGCTGAAGCTGGAGATGTAAATTGAGCGTCTCATCCTCTAGAAAGGCCTCGGCAATCTCCTTGACTTCAATCAGTCTTTCTGTGTGGTGTGAATAGGCCATGTTTAACCACGGTATAGAATATGTAAAGGGATACAAGGTTGTGTTGGGGACTTGCTTTGCATTCTCTTTTGGCTTGAATCCTAGCATGCCTCCCCAAACTGATTATGAAGAATGTAAAATGTTTTAGACCCCCACTGTACCACCCTGCTACACACATGGTGGCCTCACCCTGCCTGTCTGAATGTGCACCTCTGATCAGTACTCAGAGCTGCGGGTGCAACAGGAAAATCACCCCACGGTGCCCATTGATGTCCTGGCAACAGATGGGTTTTCATGGCGGTCAGTTACTGATGCTGTGAAACAAAACCCCAAAGAAAGAAACCTGTCAGCTGGGGTTAATAGTAAAAAGAATAAAAATATCAGCAAGTGGGAAAGAAAGTGATTAAATAATACATCAGTCTTTTATCAAGTTAGACAAAAATTAAGAATATTTGCAGGCTGGGCTTGGCCTGGGCCATTGAAAACTCTCCCACACTTTCTACTCATGAAAACAGAAGACAAGCACATCCAGAGAGGCCAGCAGGAACATCATCACTTCTAGGTGATAACAAATCAGCCAGTTCTGTACAACCTCAGTACCTGGACCAGTCTCTGAACAACTACCATGTGACAGGAACACTTGGGAAGTGTAGACCTGAACACCAAGTATGACCCTGTCTTTGCTCGCCCATCCCCACCTCTCTGCCCCTGCCTTCTCCCTGACCGTCACCTGTAAGATTCCACACAGATTATTTAAGAGGCATCATACAGATCCCCAAACTCCCTTAAAGATGAGGTGGGAATATGCAAGTCTGTTATCTGGATGCCACAGGTGGTATCATTTGGCTCATAGATCTGACCCAAGGTCAAACCAAGGTCTGGCTTTTTTTGTTGGTGAAGTCATGAGATAAGGAATGTACATAGATATAGGACCAAAGCTGGCTTGCCAGTACAGCAAGACTGACTGGCTTAGCCATCCCTGGGATCCTCTTGCTTCTGCCTCCTTGCTACCGGGATCACAGGAAAGTACACCACACCTGCTTTTTCATATGGGTGTTGAGGATCCAAACTCAAGGTCTCATGCTTGTCACAGCAAGCACTTACCCACCAGCCATTTCCCCGCGCCTATCTGTGTAACTGCACTCAGACAATCCTCCTCAGCAGGTCCCACCTTGTCTCACCTCTCACCGGAACCAGCAAAGATTCTGTTGCCATAACACAGGCTTTGCCCAACAGTATCCCCTGGCAGATGGGATGGCTCTTGTACTCCTGGAACACATCATCGATCGATTTGGTGTGCCATCCCCCAAGCTGCTGGAATGTCACTGCTGGAACCACCACTCCAGACTCAAGGGCAAATCTGCTCTTTCGTCTGACTCATCCACACTTGCCTCTTCCGTACACCAGGGCACTTCTCCATCCCATTCTTTCTGGCAGTTGTCACTCTTCCCGTGGCTAGCCTCGCTCATGAGGCCAATGATAACAATCTATTTTCCCCCTAGCAGCCTGCCTTCTCAGCTCCCTCAAGGAACAGATGCCTGAGGTCTCCACAATGACAGCTAACTGAATGCTTCTTCACTCACACCTTCTGCTGTGTGCGACCCCAACTTCCAATTTCTCCCTCCCCACTTAGTCCCAAAATCAGCAGGAAGCCATCTCAAGAATTTGGTGCCCTCATTCCACGACCACCCCCTGTGACTTGCTATCTATAACTCACCTTTTTATAATAATCAAAAAGGGAGGAATGTTGGCATTCGGACCCGACCCTGGCTTGCCAAGCATCCTGACAACATCATCCTATATAAAGTCCCCTTTAAGAACCCCCCTTCTCTTCCTTCCTCTCTCTTTCCACCAGAGCAATGCACCTCCACACCTCCATGTGCTCTCTCTTTCTTTCTCTCTCTTTTCCTCTCTTCCCTTCTCCCTCCCCCTTTAATAGTATCACGTGAGCGCTATCGCACAGTGTGAGTGACTTTCCACCATGCCCCTCGGCTGCAACCCACCAAGACTTTTAAAATACAACAAGCTTGAGCATCTGAGACTTCAAAGTCCACCCCTACAGTGACACACTTCCTCCAACAAGGCCACACCTCCTAATAGTGCCACTCCTTTTGGGGGCCATTTTCTTTCAAGCCACCACACTGGCCAAGTGGTTCTTGGGCCTTTGGAGCTTGTTTACAGAAGGAATATGAAAGAGTTTGACAATGTAAGCTAAGGAAGACCCAAAAGTGGAAACCTGGGTGAGAGTTTACAAACCAGTCGGTGACAGAAAACATGGACAGTATTCTACATGTAAATAAGAGCTCTATCAACAATCAGACTAGAGCCCATTTGTGTTCAGTTCTGGCAATGGTCATAGTTATATTTTGCCTGTGTCCTGAAAAATTTAAGTGAGGCCAAACTCAAAAGTAATGGGATAACTGATTTGCAAATGAGTTTCCAAGACAGCATAGCCTTCAGGTAGTAAGCAGCATGGTTGCTGCTGGCTGCTTTTGGTCATATTTATAGTGAAAATTGGGAGTAACCAATAATGGAGCAGAAAACATGGAATTTGGGGCCGTGGGTGTGTTCTAGAGTTAAGGAAAAAGTCAATAGAGACAGTGCTGTAATTGTTACAGGTGTTGGTGTCATTAAAAATAAGCAGCCCATTTGCACTGGACTGAAAGGAAAGATGCCATGAATAGTTTGCACCAAGATTCCAAAGAAAAGTCTACAAGGCTAGGCTGTGTATAACAGGACCAAAATCCTCGAAGGAAGCCCCCCAAGGGCTATGAAGCCTTGAGGAAGAAGCCTAAGTAGTTATTGTGACCACAGAAGGTTGGAACTTCCAGGAACATGGAATACTGAGGAAAACTACAGGCAAAAAGAACTGAGTGGAGCAGGCCCAAGAGAGGGGCCATGTGTGCTAAAAATGGCAGCGCTCTAGAGGCAGAGGTAGCCAAACCTGTTGGAGCCTTGATGCTGACAGCACATTCCCTGAATGATGAACACAGAGCTACACATTTTGTTTTCCCTTGCTAGGCTTCAGGATTGCTTCCAAACAGTCTTTCCTTGCTGTGCTCTGTTTCTCTCTTTCAGAACAACAGTGGCTTCTTTTGTGCTATTGTGGATTGAAAGTCTGTAGTTTGTCTCTTTTATTTACAGATAGAAGGTTGCCTGGCCTCTCAAAAGAGACTGTGGGCTTTGCAAACAGTTTGGGGGCTTTTCAGACTATGGGGACTTCTGTACTTGGCCCAAATACAGCTTGCATTATGAGATGGCCATGAACTTTTGGGAGCCAGGGCTGAAATGTCATGGATTGAAACTGAAATGTGTCCCCCTACAGGCTTATGTTTTGAATTCTCAGTTTGGGGTACTATTTAAGACTGCAGAGCCTTTAGGAGGTGAGGCTTGGCTGGCAGAAGTAAGTTACTGGGAGACCCTTAAAGATAAACACACCCCTAATTCCAGATTGCTCTCTGGTTCTCTGCCATAGGACAAGCCTCTGCCACATGCTCACTGTGCACTCCACCCCGCTGGATTGTATTCTCTGCAACCATGACCAAGCCTTCTGTCCCTTAGGTTGTCTCTGTCAGATATCTTGGGTGCACCAACAAGAAAGTAACAACAAGCCGGGCGGCAGTGGCACACGCCTTTAATCCCAGCACTTGGGAGACCGGCAAGCAGATCTCTGAGTTCAAGGCCAGCCTGGTCTACAGAGTGAGTTCCAGGACAGCCAGGGCTACACTGTCTGTGGATGAAGAAATCACATAGACATTAGGCCAAATGGTAAGCTAGAATGCCTGGACTGTCCAAACAGGTTCATAATAAATGATAGTCTAAATATAGATAGATGCAGGGTCAGAGTATATTTTACATAGAACTCTCTTTTGTGTCCAGGAGTGGCTCTTTGTGAAAGAAGCTCCCGTAGAGTTACAAGCCATGCGGGAAAGATCCAAAGGCCCCTTGTCTGTGAAGACTGAGTCTCCCTTCTCCTCTTGCTGTCTTCTTAGACCCTGAGGGTTACACACACACCTCAGGGTATGAAAGGTCTTTGTGTTTGTGAGTTGTGTGAATTTGGTCTTGTCTTTTGAGTTTCCCAGGCACAGACATACCGTAAACAGAAGCACACAGGAAAGTGTTGTTGTTCTAAGTCCCTTGACTCCAGCAGGATTTCCGGAATGAGCTTAGTTTCCATGGCCACGGTGTCATCACAGGGCATGACTTCTCTGCAGGCGCACAGCAAGGAGAACCCCCAAGAGTCACCTTGAACACCACTCAAGTGAGTGAACAGAACCAAAGCGCAGGTGGGAAAGAGGCCTCCCACCAAGGTAATCCAGTCAGCTGCTGAGCACGGTGAGCCGACTCGCGGTGATCCAACTCGAATAATTGACCGCTTCCATTCCACTTTCAACCGGGGAGGTCTGCTGGAAGCCAGGACATCCAGGAGGACACAGAGGGTGAGATGGTAGAAGATGATCACCTCACGGCCACAGGTGATACGGAGGGATGTTCAAGAGTCCGATGTTTTGCTAGTAAGGAATACATAATGTATTTAATTTTTTTTTTCTGTGACATTGCTTAAAAGAAGTAAGAGTGGGCTGGTCAGGGGAGCGGC